TGTAGCAAGAATATTATTTCGAAACTGCTGAAAAAAATATATTAATTAAAAAAGCTATAAATTTTTTTCTGATCCAAGTGCATATCCTTTTACTAATAAAGAGATAATAAAAAAGAGAACAGAAGTAAACATGATAAAACACAATATAAAATATGTATAAAAAACTCATACATAAAAAACTCAAAATAATTATAAGGTAAGATTAATTATAAGATAATTATACAAAAATAAAAAAGTAATTATAAATTAACTATAAATATATAGAAAGTTTAACGCTCGCGTGCGCGATATTCTCAGATCATTAAAGTATATAATAGATTTATTATCTAAAATAGCCTCAGTATGATGTATTATAGATATCTAGATATATCTTATTATACGATCTAATATTAGAAGACTCGTTTGTTTACGAAGCATCTAGTATCGCTCAACGTAGACGCCTTTGTTATCGCCGCCTCTTTCGTTCTATAACCGTCCAAAGGGATTCGTGCCGATGATGTACGAGCTAGCTTATGGAGAAAAGCCCTTTTTTCCCCTCGTTACTCCAAAGTGCGCTGCCAAGTTCCATAATAATTCTTTCCCGAATATCATTATTATACCGTCGGGTCTTCGTTACAGTCGATTTCCCGAATTTTACGTAGCTTCGGAATGAACTGAAGAACGTAACAAAGTAGAATGAATATATGAGCTGAGAAAGAAGTGCCAGTATAAGTTTCTTTCTACCATTATAACTCGTCGGTACTTATATTTTATTTAAAATGATAAGATGGAATCTTTAATCTCATCGATAATATGTCAACTTTTAACAACATTAAGTACCTAAGGTTCTACATATTTTAAGAAGTTGAGTTTTTAACTGGTACATGAAATAATTTTCTGAGCATTAGATGTGATACTTTAAAAATCAATAAAAATACACACATAATATTGAAAAATAAAATAATTTTATGTTAACTTTGCTATAATAAGTGATACAAAACATCAGGTTTATGTGACGAATTTAATCATAAATTTAACATATAAATTAATCATAAAATTGATATTTTTTAACAAAAGAAAAAATCAAATAAAGGAAATTTTGATTATTTTTATAGCATTAAATGAGTTTATATAAAGAATTTGTTACCAAAGAATATTTTTTTATAAATAATATCTAAAATAAAACATGTAGATCTTCTATATATATATATATATATATATATATATATATATATATATATATATAGGAGATATATGTATGTATTTTGCTGAGAAGCATAGAGATAATTCGGGATCGAAAGATTGAAAAAAATAAATTATATCTCTATCTGCCCTCTACAAAAGAAATTTTTAAGTTACAATTCCCGTCAGTGCACATGCAGGGTGTATGTACGAACGATATATTCTTGTAACCAGAAAATTTACTTTATCAGCGTTATCACTTGTTGGTATACACAGAGATATCGGTTACTGATATAATGGAGATTAAATATTATTTGTATTACTATTATTTGCATTCAAAGTATATATTTCTATTTATAAATATATCTATAGATACACATATAGTAAAATATATGTTAATTATTGTTTTTTAACTTAAATTTACATATAAAATTAACATAAAATACGCATTTTATTTCACTTACTCCATATTAATTGATGTTCCACATGTTTACATACTCATGCTGATTTACTAGGTCTTTATTTATGTAATAACTTCTTAATTACATTCTCTTATAATATATAATAAATTACAATAAAATATAATAAAATTTTTTTTAAGTTTTAGAAAATTTTTTATGAATAATTTAGTTTTTTATATGGCATTAAATACAATTGATTTTAACAATGTTTTAAAGAAAAGGCAGAAAGGATATATTTAATAACAAATTATAAAAAGATTGTTATAAACATATTTCAAATTAATCAGAACTATAAATAAAAAATATGATAAATAAAAAAGAATGTGATCCCTGCATATAACATATTTTTATTCAAATACAAATGCTTTTAACTCAGCTTGATGAGATCAACTTAATAAAATTTGCGCTATCGTAAATCTCTGGAGATTTAATGGAAGAAATAGAAATAATCCACAAGACAAACACAACAATTCAAACAATTATCACGATTGTCTAACATTTATTGCCAAGTACACGATAAGGTACATTAGATATTTACACGGGAGGGAAGAGTTATTGTGGCCACACACAAATGCAAAAACTATTATAACTTACAGCTTAGCATATATACACGTCCCTGAGGCTTATTCTACAATATCGTACACATACTATTATTATACAATATCAGTAGCTCTATATATTGAAGGAATGCAGCGCCGTATAATAATTTTACTAGTTATCACACTTCTACGTATATGTACATAGCACATTTGGAATCATCACAAACATACGCAAGCAATATCGCAAAATTGATGGATCTATTTCAAAAATTTTAACCGGACTAGCAATTTGTAATCGATTGGCGAAACATGTGATTGATCGATAACAAATTCGTTAGGAAAATGAAATGAAAGCTCGACTAATAAATCACTGACAAATTGCTTTAACGATTGAAAATATTGTATATTCGTTATTTTTTGTAAGCGATATCTATTATTAATATTCGTTATACGAGCAGAGTCTACAGATTTATTTTTACCTATGTTTAATACACATCTGTCAGAATTAATATAAATATTTTACATAAACATACACAAATTCACACTTAAAATCGTTACATGTACTCGTCTCCATCTGTTCACAAATTTAGCATTTCTATATTTCAAATGTACATATGTTCACTTCATATATAAATAAAAAATTTAGACGTATACAGAGACCCATTATAATGTATAAATAGATTTTTCCCTGGAAATACGACAAATAAAAAAAGCACATGCACAAGTTAGATTATTTCGACGGACATCAAATATTGCACTTTATTTTAAGAATGAAGATGTTTTGGAGATTTCAAGATCTACTGTAACTTTTTTTAATGGAACTTAATTTATTCTTTATAATATAAATCAGTATTTTCTATTATTTTGTTAAAATAAGTAAATATTAGAGTAAAATATTTTAAAAATGAATAGGATAAATTTAATTTCTATAGATATCCCTTTTTTTATACTTTCAGGAAAAAATCCATTTATAGATTATATGTCTTCTTGTATTAATTATTTGAAATTAATATACAAGAAGGCATTTTATAACCTATAAGCATTATATAAATTTCTAAAATTACAAATAAAAATTTTTATTAGCTGATCTTTGCAACACTATATAACTTGTCTGTAAAAAATTCATAAATTTTCTAATAATTATGATCTACAACTTAGACAATATTATATTAAGATATTATCTTTGTTCGTTGATGCATTTATAACTATTATTTTTATATAATTCTAAATTTTCCTAGAACTAAAAATTTGTATAGATAAAAATCCGAGAAAAAATTTGTTTTACTTTTTCTTTTTCTTTCTTTCACTATTGATGCTTTCTACAGATGTGTGTATATTATTTATCTTATATATACAATACATGTAATAGTCTATTACTATAACCATATTCATGGTCACGAGGTATTCGAATTAAAAATACTTTATTGATCATTCCGTTAATGTCGGAAATTTTCCAAAAATTATTGTCATCCTGTAACATAAACGCAATAATTATATTAAGTATGGAATTTTACGCACAGAAAGCACAAAAATTAGAAACATTTGTGTTCGAGCAGTAGAATTAATATAAAATGCAACTAAATAAAGTTATGTGTTATAATTCTAATCATAATATATAATGCAATAAATTTTTTGTTGTTATCACAAATTGTTGCATATTATTTAAATTATACAATAAAATATAATTATACAATTAACAAGAGAGATATAATTATCATTTCTTTGGTATCACAATAATACACTATCTAAAAATCTTCAAATATAATAAACAGCTTTTATAAAGTGTATTTTCTTGTTGTATTCTTGAATACACAATAAAAAAACACATATTATTTATTTATAAAAATCGGAAATAAAGTAGTCATCTTTAGTCATCATATAATTCATCAACATTTATAATGTAATATCATAAATAAATACTTAAATACTTAAATAAAATAAATCTCTTTTGAAAATATGAAGCATATTCCTTTTTTATAATATATTTTACGTATTTAAGAAACAAGATGGAACTCAATAAACTTTATCGTAAAAATATTTCAAATATATTGTTTCATAAAATAATTTAATATAATATACAATAACATTATTATGGAGACTCTACCATTTAAAATATATATTTTTATTTATACATTATTAATTTCCTAATTATTAAATTTCATTATATATTATTTCAAGTTTTTTATTATCTCTGCTGCATATGTACATAAATATTTTTGCTACTGATACATGCTATAAAAGACAATTTCTAACATGTACATTTCTCATAACAAGAGAATATAGCAAAATCAAAAAGGCAAAAGTTTAAAAAATATATAATTTGAACTGAAATAAAGTTAGACAAAAAAATATATTTATAGTATTTATAATAAGAAATAAACTTTTAAACATATAATGCTAAAGAGAACTGAAAAAAACAACTTTTTGTAAAAAATTATTTGCGATTCTATATACGCATAATACATTTTCATTATTTATATTTAGACATTATTAGCAAATTGCAAGCTATGTACGTTCTGTTAATATTTTGAGATGCGTAATGAAAGATATAATCGTCATATCTTTATATTTACATTCACATCAATACTTATGATATGTGTATATCATATATCAAAAGAATAATATTACATTATTTTCGTAATTTTTAAAAATTTTTAAACAAATCAAAGACCAGACATTTTATATTTTGCACGAAAATATAAAAAAATATGTCTGCATAAAACATTTTTTTCTGAAATGTAATTCGTATGCTACTATACTCACACACATATACAATACACACACACACACACACACACACACACACACACACACACACACAAATATATAAAATAAACAAAAAAAGTATTTATTTGAAGAACTTATCAGAAAGTGCAATTGCAAATAATATGTAGCCCTTTTACTTGATTTATAGACTTTCTTCTTCAAGTGCTGGCGAGGTCAACAAGGTTACCGCTTGGAATGGGAACGGTAAAAGCCAACTACTCTGACGTCTTCAGCGTAAAGGGGTTAATAGATTGGTGGCTTTCTACATCTTTAGATAGAGAGGAAAGTACACGTTCTATTAGTACACGTTCGGCTTGCAATGTGTTAATTACGCTTCCTCACGAAGTACCCCCGGTCACTCTGATCAACCAGATACTTCGGACCCTTCATACTTCCATATAAAAACAGGTCTTCACTCTACGTCTACTTTATGCAAATTTCATGTACAACAGGAAGAGACTTTTTATCGAGAACAGCGACCCTTCGCAGCATTATTCTTATCGACATTACTTCGTTGCGATGCTTGCCACGCGCGATGTTTAATCTTGCATCCAGAGACTCTTTCTATATTACTTTAATCTTCTTTGCGTATAGTTTTTACTGAACAACGGTAGCTTACGTGGATGAACCACCAACCAATATCACAGTTATGGCAGTTATTCCGAAATTTGTAAGCAAGTGGCGATGAAACGCCGATGAGGCCGTTGCCGACTGAAAATCGATCTGCTCGTCGCCAATATCATCACCTTTCAGCATTGGCTCGTTCTTCATTCCAGCAACTTTCTTTTCATGGTTGTGATCGGTCTTCCATGTCTTCTTTGATTCCCATCTCGTACCCGGTTTGCGCGTAGTGGGCTTATCGATTTCTGAAAATACGACGATACAATAAATTTGATAAGCAAAGTTAGAAAAAAAAAATATATGATAAGATATGTTTTTCGATAAGAAGCAAGAAGATAGTTTGGATGTTTTTTTATCTCTTTGTGAATTAAGTAAACTGAGAGAATAATATATTTTTCATGCTTTCTATTTCTAAATAAATTCTAGAAAAAAAGAAACAGATATTTTCTACAGAACTATTCCTCTGGCTAGACTTAAAAAAAATCATTTTTTAACAAAGATTTATAGATATCATCTTATTTCTTAATATTTTAACATCTATTATATATAACTTCGTATGAAACTTTGTTAAAATTAATCGTCAATTTTATTCAAAATTAATTGAAGATTAGAGTTTCATATTACGCAGTTTAATTCATTGTGTTTTTTTATTACTTTATAAGACATTATCTCTATTAATTATTATATAATCAAAATTATTAATGTCTAATTACAATAATTACAAATAATTACAATAACAATATAACAATTTTAAGAGAACAAAGTAATATAACAATTTCTCTTAATTATAATACACACTATTATATATGTGATTTTAAATGTGTGCCCAATAACGCAATAAAGAGAGCACGAGTTCAAAGTTAATTATAGAAGCTAAAGATTCGTTCTCCAATGTTAATTTCAACCACATTTATCATTCGTTCGTTAGCATTGATTTCACTAACAAATTTCAATATCAAATATTTTCAACTGTTGTTTGTAAACAGATCTCTCATATTAAGTAAAAACGCGGGACAGTAGCGATAATAATCGTGATTTTTCCACATATAATATCGATAAAACTCAATAATAATAAATCAACTCAATAATAATAAATAAAAAGTCATCAATTAATCACTGAAATTCGATATTGATAAACGAGCGAGCGCCTAAATTCGGACTGATCATCAGCATGGAGATTGAACATCCGTTATAGTATGCAACGCAATAGAAAGTCGCTTTACGTCGAATTGTGTTGGAAACGAACGGGCGTAAATGGCGAATCGAGATATCGGTAAAGCCTGTCCGCGAGTAATAACTGGAAAAATAATCGGCCAAGCGGTCGGACTTTCCGCGCGATGCTCTCCGGGTTTGACGTATTGGAATGTCGTCCGAACGGCGTATCCGCAAAACCTGCAGAGCTCTTGTCACTTGCACGCTCCATCGAAATGTCGAGAGTTCGAAAGCGATATTAATTCTCTCGCGCGTGTGCATCGGCATCGCCGCACGAGACAAAACTACACTTTTTCTAATTAATACCCGCGGGATGACAGCGCGCGCAGGTCGCGCAACATTCTCAGGTGACAACCGGAAACAATTGAGATTACGGGACAAAGGTGAATGTCAATATTCCTTTGATAGATTACGACAGGAAAAATGCATACAAATACAGTTTTCCATCAACTTTGATATATTAAACAGACATTTGTAAATTGATCGAGAAATTAAAATTCAATGAAAACAAAATATTTCTTAATTTTTTATTAATTATTAATTTTATATATATATATATATATATATATATATATATATAATTATATATAATTACATATATTTTTGATATAATAATAAATTAATAATAACAGATAAATTAATAGATTAACAATAACAGATTATATATAATTATTAGTATATAATTATATAAAAAAATTTTTATATTTTCTTATAATTTTATATTTTCTTCTCACCTAATGTTGGAAAATTTTTTTTATACATCTCATAAATTGAAAATTATCTTCGTAAGTAAATTTACAGAAGATAAACATACTAATCAACTTTCGTTCGATGTGCAGAAGCTTATGCAACGTTGATTTCAATTTGCAACGACAATTGTGTTTACTTCTGCAAGGTCAATGCATTTATGTTTGCTCGTACTGTTTACAAATCTAGGAAAGCACACGCTGCATATTCGTGCAGTTGAGATGCAGAATTTGTGCTTTCGGCTATCCTGACAGTTTGTTGTAATAATGTAATTTAATAAATACATTAATTAATACGCTCGGACACCACGGCCGAATATCGGGATTGTGGTAACCTTTATGTATCGCATTGTTACCGAGAATAGTTGAAATGGTTATCGTCCCGAATACCTTAAATTACTAATTTACGTTTATTAGCATGCCGTTATATAATTTTCTTTGATGCTGTATCTGCGGTAATGAATATTGCGACTGTGGTTTAAGATGTTCAGAGCTCTCTTCCATCTCATTGCAATTAGCCAGTAATGCATTCCACCTGTAAGACTCGCAACTCGCAATTCTGTTCACTGCACTACCGGTGATGCCCGCCATTTCACGGTAACACGCTTAATAGCGTCTGAACATAAGCAATGAACAAGCGTGAGAATAAAATAATTCAATTTGTCTTTTTTTCATTTATTCTCTTTTTATTCATATTTCTCAAAGAATTATGATAGCCCTCAGAGAATTATGAATATACGTTAGAAATTTCGTCTGCATCATTAATATCGAAAAATTAAAAATAATAAAAGATAAAGGAAAAGGACAGATTGTATTTATTTTATTCGTAGAAATGTACAGACAATCATATAAATTGGAAGACATGGAAAACGAAGATAACTTAAAACACCGCGGAAACTATTTAATGCAATTAATTTCAGCACACTGTAAATGCACCAATTTGATAATAACAGAGAATAGCATAATTACGTCACTAATTACTAATAATCTTTAAAAATTACTGCAGCGTACCGGGCGTTGTAAAATCAGATTTACGAGATCAATCGTGATTTAATTCTTCCTCAAAGAACATTCGCTTGCACCGGCTAGCGCAGCAAAAGTGAACTAACGACCATAGCTTCCACGGCACATTTATCGGTCACATCTATACGCGCGCGCGCTCGCGCACCCTCATCCGGCGATATAATGCAATTTGAATATAGGCCATCATGCACAGAACTTGCATGCCATGCGTGCACGTCATTGTACAGACTCGGAACGACCGACGCGATGGCGCGACTCGCGCACAAAGTACAATCTTAGCCGCCCTTAAAACAATCTCCTCTCCTTGTAACTCGTCTGTTGCCGCACGAGCCGCGTCACGTCTCTCGATAATTCGTTTTTTCTCACCTCTTTTGCTCTCTTTATGTTCAAGTAAGATTCTTATTGAAGTTAATCAACTTCATCAAATCATATAATTTACGGTTCATTCCTCTCAGTAATTATTGTTAATATTGTTGAGCACGTGTCGCATGGACGCCGGAAAAAGCTCTCGACTACAGCGACAGGGCGATTTGAATGGAAAATGCGAGACAACCGTTAGATCAAACTATTGGAATAATTACTGAAGAAGTGATTCGTGAGAATGGAAATTCGTGACGGGCATGTCCACGCCATTCCGCCATGTCGCTTCACCGCAGCATTTTGTTTGCAATTGTCGCTAATTAAGTGCCTCGAGCGCACTACGACTCTCCCCTTCATCCCCTTCCCTTATCCAATCATCATGAACGGCGCGATTTTCGTTAAAGCCATCACTCCCTTCCTTTCTCTTTGAACGGACCGCTTCTGTCCTACGGCCGTCGTTACCCGTCCCTTTCCTCCCCATCGACACTCTAATTGGAGAGGCGATCAATTAACATCAGCGAGGTCGAACGGAACGGACGGGTCGTGCTTTACGTATTTGGTGTGCTTACCACTTGAATCTCGCGCGAGAGATCCAATGAAATATAATGACGGCGAACGGGATAGACACGTGACATAGTGGCACGAAGATGACATGACATGACACGACGCGACGTGACTCATCCTGGTTCGATTCACAGCAGTGTTCCCTGCCAAAAGCCTAGGAGACCTTACGGGCACTTTCGTTCTCTATTGTACGCGAAGAAATGGCAAGGCTACTAATGTTGTTAGCTAACGAGCAACATCTTTCACGTCCTGCGAGAGATTGCCGGTTCTTTTTATTCCGTCACGAGAGTAAGCGAAGGGGCTGAGGTAAACAGGAACGGAGAAAGGTTGTTTGGCTTCCAAAGTTCGTATGCACGGAAGGATGATGGAATCATGGAAGCGGCGTCGTGGAACGAGAGACGAGGTGCATTGGTACACTGAGATTGGGGCAATTACGTCGAGAAGGTTATATCGATCGACGATAAACCGATAAGTTATCCGCTTAAGAATCACGAACGTTGGTTTAATTCCAGAACGAGATGTTTTGCTCCGCTCCCGAAATAACCGTGTACCAGAAAACATGCAGATTTTTCGTCCGTTGTATAAAGCGTCCCGCCTACATATTATGCCACAATGAGTTCCAATCTGTACATTTTCATTTATATTAACAAGTTTAATTACCCCGAAACGTTTTACATTATATTTTTCAATAATAAATAAAGGTGATTTTCTCGTATAAATGTATGTACACGCAATCGTAATATGCTATTAAAAAAATAATAGAAAAATAAAATATACAAATTCTCTCGTAAAAATTTCATTAAGATTTCTTTGTAATTTATTAAAATATAATGTTTTCATTGTCTCTTTATCTGTGCGTATTAGAAGAGAAACTAAAGGGAAAAAAGATTGTGCTTTGCTTACAAAATAAAATTCAATTACTAATATATTATTTGCATCAAGTAATTACGTTATATAGATATTATACTATATAGAGTGAAATTAATAATATAAATAATAAAGAGAAACATATAATGTAAAATATTACAAATGTGAATAGATTTATGTGATAGATAAACGTTACTCACTGTAAAGTTTTATCCTTCCATCAGTTTCTCCGAGAGAATTCGTTGCCACGCATCGAAAGGATCCAAAATCCTGAACTCGTACAGATTTTATGACGAGTTTCATCGTCATTTCATATGACCCCTTAGAAATTGTTTCCACTTTATAATTCTCATCTGAAAAGCATGAAAATATCAGCATTTAAATCATGCACAATACATATGCTAGAATAATGACGTGTTATTAAAATCAAAATTCTGAAAAAATTTGTATAACTATAATTAACATTATATTTTATTTCACACACTGCAATTCATATAATTAACGATAAATTTTTTATGTTATGAAATATATTGCAAACAGTTAAATACAAAATATTTTACGTAGAGATGTAGAGTATTTTGTATGCACATACATATATATGTTTTGTATTTCAGAACACATAATTATGTATATATATATATATATATATATATATATATATATATATATATAATTATGTGTTCTGAAATACAAAACATATATATGTATGTGCATATAAAATATATATATATATATATATATATATATTTTTTTTTTTATATGCACATACATATATATGTTTTGTATATATATATATATATATATATATATATATATATATATAGTATTTATGTATATAGTAGTAAATCAGTTACTTTTAATGATGAAATAATATTATAATAATTTATATATAAAATTATTTATTTATATATAAAATTATATATATATTATTTATAAATAATAGATTTATTATATCACAGTTATATAGATTAACAACATTAAATCCGATTAATAAAACAATAATTATAAATTTTGCATGCATATATAGATTATGATTATACTTGCTTTTTAATCGAAACCAATAATTCGAGAGAGATTGTTAATCAAAAGCGTATGACGCGCAAAATCGGCTTTTTCGCATTGATATAATTGTACTTGTTCTTCGTTAAAAAACTAATCCATTTCATTGCCACGATTGAAATAGCATTAACTAGACAAGCTTTCACGGTAGCCCAGAATAACAGAAAATTCTGGATCGATGCGCGTACCATAAACTTCGTATTTATGTTCCAAGCAGCTTAAGTATTATAGAATTGTGTAAAGTGTGCATATAAAGCGGAGCATGTTATTAATGCAAATATCATTTTTGTTCTGACGTGTAGAAAACGGCACGAATATCGATTTTTATATTATTAGTTTGAGATTATGACACTGCCAACATGAAAATATTACTTTAAAGAAAATTTACTAATATTTATTAGAATAAAAATATGTTTGCATATAATAATAATGATATCACACTTTTGCATTAAAAATTATTTATTGTATCATCGTTTATAAATATGTAACATATTTTACAAATCTACCCTTGTTCAAAAAAGCGTAAGTATGACACAAATAAACAATTAATTTTATTATATATATCTTATCGGATTTTTAATAATGAAAATAATGTGTGTATGTGTATGTGCATGAATCCGTGTTCTAAGACCAAAAGAATAAATTTGATGTATTATTAATTAGGCACTTTCAATTAATTTACTTATAACATTATTAATTTATTCATAAAATATTCATAAAAATTCATAATTCATAGTATCACTTTGTATAATATATAGTTCTTAAAAATCTTCTTATCTATCTATTTGAATATTTTTCTAATAAAAGTTGTATCTTAATAAAATATGAGGTAGCTACTCGTAATAATTAATTAGCGAAGTTATTTCTATCGATATGTGCATATATATATATATATATATATATATATATATATATATATATATATATATATATATACTTAACATTATAAGATTTCCCAAGAAATTATTTCTGTTCGACAATCAAAACAAAGAAACACAATATACACGCTCATATATAAGAAATTTGACAAATTATTGCATTCAAGAATATCCGCATTTGCAACATTCATATAATAAAGACTTTCTCTTCTTTGTAATTAATCGACAAAAATTTTTAATGCTAATTTTATTCTCCAAGTTATGAGAACTTCTATCCAACGTTAATTAAGTGACTAGATTAAACTCGATAACACATAAAAACTTGAAATTCGCGAAACAATCCCACATTCTTTTAATTAATTCGAATGTAACTTTTCATTATAACACTGAAGAAAAATTTCAGCGTGTATATATACGTGAGTGCTGTCACGTATTAGCAACCCGACACGAGATGGCATGCACACGTCTTAAGTTTTAATGCCACTGCCCTTGCCCTTAACCCCTTGGCATATCGCAAAGATGCATGGTAGCAATTAGAGTGAAACAACCACGTTAGCGCGATGTAATTAAGGCGAATCGCATTACAACTGCTTGTGCGTGTACTTACCGGCATGCGCAGGCGAAAGAAAAGAAAAGAATTTATAATAACTATCTCAAATTGGAATAAAACGAGCTCTCGGTTTTAATAGAACTTTCATTTTAGTAGAACTTTCACCTTCCCAGATGGCGAACATTATTCGTGAAATGCGAATATTTTTCAATACGATATGAAACATTATCTTAACACACACAAATTTATCAGTTAAAAAATTGATTCATTATCCCTTAAGAAATAAATGAAAACATAATAGTAACTTGAATAGGAAATTGAATAAAAAATGAATAAAAAACACAAAGAAAATTTTCTTTAAATGTGAAATATATGAAGATAGAATTGTCAACAGCATGATATATATGTTGTTTTAATACATTCTGATATTAATATATTCAATAAGATTAAATTTAAATACCAAATTCTCTCAAGAAATTATGATTAAAATTAATATTTTTTTGTATGTGTTTTAGTTTATTGCTAACTAAACTAAAAAATATTTTCCATGATGAAAGTATAGAAATATCTGCTCACCGTTGGCGATAGTTTCATTTGTTGGCCTCGTCCAATAAGTGATAGGGCTGGGATGAGCTTCGCTATGACATTCTAAAATGAGTATTTGTCCTTCGTAAGCACCGACTAGCTGATTTTCGATCCAAACCATAGGCTGAACTATATAAAGTAATATGTATTTTAATAAAACATGCGTTAAAAAGACGCAAATGTGTTATTAATAATTTAAATATCTATTTTGTATGAATTTATACTAATGTGCTGATGTAGCTCTTTTATCACACAATTTTTCTATCGCATTAAAATAAAAATTAATAGAGCGTTATCAATTTTATATTAATGAAATTTTTTACTTTAATCACATTTTAATTTGAGACATAGATACGAAAATTTTTAAATTGCAAAAATAAAATATTAACTTTAAAAAATAAAATATTAACTTTAATGAAACATCCATTAAAATTTTCAAATTTATCAAAATATCTGACACAATCTTATAAAGGTTCCTCCACTCATTTTTAAAGTGTTTTTCTACGAAAGAAGTTCTCTTATTTTTTTAATCAATCCAGAAACGTCACTTGTCCCCATAGCAGGTGGCTCATGACATTGCATAGCAAAATTACGTAGCCGGCGGCGGGAAAGATTTAACTCCGTTTTCAGGAACAATGGCCCTCGGGATCGGCTATTCACCATGCCCGCTCCGAGAGGCATCATTACGCGAGATCGCTTACAGCACGTGCGAGTACGACAATTTAAATTATATTTTGTGGCAAGCGCGACGCATAAGAAAGAATTTCTAGAACAGAATTACATAAAATCGTTCGTGCGCGAGCATATATATATATATATATATATATATATATATATATATATATATATAGAATGTATAACATGGAAGTTGAATAGTGTCAAATTTTTTCGACTGCATTGGAAAAGTTTGATTTCGAAGCAAAAATTACAATAACATGATTTATTACATGTCTACATATTGTAATTTTCATTGTATGTTTCTTGTAATTTTTAAAGATTAATTGACATATAATGATTATTATTAAATATGTAGGATTTAATAATTTTATATGTGTATGTCCATGCGCATATGTGCGAGCGTAATATTTCTTATTTAATAAAACAGAAATGCATTTGATAATATAATTCTCTTGATTGCAATAAAAAAACGATATGTGTGTATTTTGCAACATTTCACATTGTTTCAATGGAAATCATAAATCTTGGTCATAAAACAAAATCTAGGGTCACGTAATAAAATTACGTACAGTGAACAGTGAGAAGGATCCGCTTGCTGACTGTCGGTGGTACCCCGTTGGATGCTATGCAGAGATACGGTCCCATATGGAGACGCGTAATGCGTGTTATTTCCAGCTCCGGACCTTCGATACTCACCGCGGCTACAGTTTATATGTACAGAAATGCAGACATATAAATTCATATAAACATGAATTACAGCACGTGAATTATATACGTTTCACTAATCACTCAGAAACGCATCTGACAATACTAACATACAATCTGATAAATTATACGCATTAATGCCACGTTAACTTTTAATGAAGTATTCCGAATTGTAAACACACATTTTCCAGAAATTCTCTTTCGCAATTTGAAATCTTATAAAATATATAAAATATATAAAATGCTTTTCTTGAAACCGTCAACGTAATTTTTTCTAATATCGATTAAATATATTTGATGTTTTAAATCATTACTATTAACAAATACAAATATAATAATAATAATAATAATAAAAGCATTTCCTCATATAAAATGCTTAAATTGTTATAAATTGTATGTACAAATATTTAATATTATAACATCACTTACACAAAAATTTATAAATTTTCTCCTCATTTCCTTGACATATCATTTATAACATATATGTAACATGCATCAATCAATACACATTACTTTAATTACGTTTAGATAGTGGTGAAATGCAAAGGATATGTTTAATTTTACATTCTACATTTAACAAAATTTTCAAACATGCAATTTAAATAAAGTAAAATAAAGTAAATTAAATATATTTTTCTATCCACATTTCCTTATACCAAAATACGATAAAACAATTAAAATACTTAGCGATAAATATATTAACAGTAAGAAAATAAAACATTTATTAGCAATTGAATAACATATTTATGTTAAATTGGAAGTTGTACTAAATGGAATGTAATATAAATAATAATACGCGAAAGTGAACAAAGTAGTACTCATTATGTGTATGTCACAATTGTGTGTAATTTCATGTATTGTAAATTAATATTTATTCTCTGATGTTTTCCGATAATTCCTGTTTCACATGCTGCAGTACGGTTGACTAGCTTAATATTATAAAACAATTAATTTCAAGTTTAATTAAAATGTGTATTTCCTTAATTTCGATATTATGTAATTAAACGTGCTAATCGATTTGTATATTGAAATCACAATTAGTTCCACATTGTAAATGCGCAATAAAATTAAATTGAAAAGCTAGCGAAATTTATTTTCAGATTGATTACCATATAATTCACATAGTTCCTTTTTAGATCAATGATTTACTAATGTATATGCAGTCATACATACATGTAAACATGTAATTGTCAAAAAATAAAATTACATAACTTATACAAGAAAAATGGAAAATGTAGAAAATTTATAAGTAATTATAAAATATGTAATATATGTAATATATGTATTCAATAATTTTTGTATAAATATTTTGTACTCTAATAATCTCTGTTTTAATATAAAATTTTCATAAAATAATTATAAATATAAAGATATAAATGTAAAGATATAAATCTATACACATATACATATAAATAAATTGTTCAATAAAAAATTAAAATCTTTGAAAAAGTAAAGCAATTTCAAAACCTTCAATAATAAAATTGTTATATTAGTTTTAATTATATTTATCATGCCAATTAAATATGCGTATTTAGAATATTAGAATTTATCATTTATTTTATATTAATTTTATAATAACTATTAATTTCATTATTCGAAAATCATTGAGCGCGCGTTCGTTGCCCTATTTGCTTAATACTATAAATTATTCCCCATGCTCTTTATAGCATTTGAATATGTACCATGTGAAATTTATGCATAACAACGTCTGTGCACAATATCTTGAAAAGCGTTTTTATTCGCGCACCTGTTGAGACCTTTGAGGTAAATTCGCACATCAAATTTTTATCGTCTTCAGAAAGCAGATTCGCTTAGTATGGATTATCGTATAAGAATAAAAAGATAAAAGAACTCTTTTCGTCTTTTCAACTATTATTGGAAGTCAAACGAAGTGCGCGAATCGAGTGAGAAAATCGTAAGAGTGATGGCGCACAGCTGCGATGGAATACTCTATTTTCCGGTACTTATCGTCTAATGGAATCGCGACTGAACCTTCCCGCAAAACGAACGCAAGATGAAGAAACGAATAAAGAGACAACGTGACAAAATGCTTAAAGAGATTCCTTAAAATCGGCCCGGAAGATAAAAGTTTCATTCGTCGAATAAAACATGAAATAATGGAAGCACATGATCGCATGAGCAATATCTTATCATCGCAAGATGTTTCTTTGCACTTCTTGACACAATCTCGTACGAAAGAACGAAAATATAAATGTGTTGCACATTGGTCTGTCACATTGATGTTTCCAAAGCATGGAACTCGGTAACGTACTCGGAGGAAACAGAAACAGAATGAAAGAGAAAAATGGTAGGATAAGAGAAAAATCTGCAATCGAAAAAGAAAAGGACCAAACGGTACTTTAGTTACCTTGATATACAATCAAGAATGCCCCTAGCACTTGCTTGTGCAATTAGTCAGCGAAAGATCTGAACGATCTCGACATAAAGCGGAAAACAAGAGGAACACTATTCAATAAAGCCGGAAACCAAAAGCGTGTGAATGATTGAATTGGGAGAATTGTTTGAGAGATTTGGGAAAACAAAAACTCTTGAATTGAATGGAATTGTTTTTTAAATGTAATTTTAAAATAAAAAAGCATAAAGTTAAAGAATTAATTAAATTTCTTTCTGGCGTAAGTATATATATATGTAATAATTTTTTAGAAGAAATGTTTACGTACAAATTATATAAAAATACATGTAAAAACATAATAACGTAATATACTTTTATATTTTTTATATTAATTAGACGTTAAATTAACTGTAAAAATTATAATAGTTCAATTTTAAACAATCACTATGCATCGTAAAATTATCATTAATAAAGAATTCTCGTTGAAATATTCTATCGCAAACGCTTATATAACATTTCTTCTACAATAAGTAAGAATTTAAATTATATGTTTTTACTAGATTTTACTTAAAGATAGCATAACGACAGAAATTTGTTCGAAATTGTAAACAAAATTAATTTCTCGCCGAATGGATTAAAGTAAATGAGTTTATATTATAAATGCTCGGCAATTTTATTTCGATAGACATTGTGCCAACGGCAGTTTGCTGATAATAACATCACGAAAGAAACTAGTTTGTGTAACGAATCGTTAAATTTTCTCGCCAGTTGTGAGAGACTGTAGGAAGCGAAAGGATAGTGAAAGAATTATTGTTGAATATTGTATCGTGAAAGCAATAAAGAAATATCAATGGAACCAAAAAAAGCTTCATAATTATAAAAAATTATAAAAAAAATGTATAATGATATTATATATATAATGAAATAATTAAAAATTATTACAAAATATTTCACATAATATTTTTATTACATGATGCAACATTGATAATATAACTTTTCGTTACCGAGATTTCCTTTTTTTTATTCTTTTATAAAAAATAAAGAAAATTTATAAAATTTAATTGATTTAATTCCAAATGTGTATCATATATTTAATCAGTCCTCAAGTAAATAAGTTTATTTTGCCCGCATTAATTGCGATAAACGTGTTCAATCTACAGTGAATTCAACAATAAACGCATTCATATCGATTCACATAGCGCCATCCATCAAAACTTACTCAATAATCCAACCGGACTTACAATAAACATTCCATTCAATCAGCACGAAATGACACGACGAGCTTTCTGTCATCCTATTTTAACGCGAACAAGAAAAAGCCTCGCCACACGAACGTGTTCTGCGAACGGATTACATTCAATATATGTGACGCGGGATAATAATACGAGACAGGGTTGAAGGAGACACAGAGATCTAGCGAGAGAAAACCCTTCGATCCGAGATGGCCAACCGACAATACTTGTGCGACAAGATATAGTTGACATCCGACGAAGCAATAGCAATAGCAATAGCGCAAAGATACGTACCTTCGTGCCAGTTTGACAAACTGATCGTGCCGCCCGCCTCGCGACGCCACGTGACTGTCGGCTCCGGTGTTCCTGTCGCCGCGCACCGTAACGTCACGTTGCTACCCTCCCGCACCACCATGTCTGTGCTGGTGGGATAGTCCAGGATATCCGGTGGCACTGAAACAATGACCACATTGCGACGAGAACGTTCCGGAGACTGCATGTGCGTACCAACACACGGAGAACATTGCGCGTACCAGCGTCACGGCCAGATAGATGGCTATCTCTCGGTGGCCGATCATGCTCTGTCACCGTCTAACTGTATCGCAATATTCTGCATGTATACGCATCGCGCGAACATGGAGCTTCGCGCCCCATTCGCTCGCGTATACGGTGGATTCGCTCGTAAAATCTCGATTCGCCCGGCAGATCTCGTTTTCGCCTCGTCGATTCCGAATTTGCCCGAATCTTCGTGGCGTTCTGGTCTACGTCCGGCTGGCACCCTTCTCTCTTCATCCCCTTTTTTACCAGCCTCCGCTTTTTTTTTGTACACGAGATACCTTTTTATTCCATTGAAAAAACTTTTCACCGATCATTGGCGTATGACTTTAACGGAGATCATAATTTATTGCTTTGTTATAAATCGCAACCAGAAGCTCGATAAAGTGTTGTAGAAGGGTGCATAGTATTAGCGTTATTGAATATTTTACGACGTACACATATACTTGTCTTTGAACGCGAGATCACAAAGTGTTTGATGAAACTTTGGTAAGGCTTATATAAACCTATTCTCCTCGAGATTTGTTGTGCTTCAACATAAAATAATATATTATATATTATATAATTGTTATAATATATACATATAACTTAAATGAAGTTATGTATGTGAATTAAATAAAATTATAATCTTATTAATTTAAATACACATACATAATTTAATATATTTATATCTCTGTTATATATGTATATCTGACAGTTCACAAATTTAATTGGTAAAGAGAAAATTTTATAAAAATTTATGACATCTTTGTATATATTAATACACGAATGATATGAACAGGATCTAAAGTAAGAGAACAGTAAGTAAGTTATTTGAATTACTCAAACTGCATAAGCAAGCAATATATCATGCAAAGTAAATCCATCGTATAGCTTTATCCATCTAAGTTAGTAAATAATGGACGGATACATGGTGTATTGCTCTGTGTTTAGGAGATATATACATGTTTGATAGTTTAGAGAAACTATGCTTATTTCTCTAATCTGAGCAAATAAATTTACTAAAATATCAAAATTAATATATATATATATATATATATATATATATATATAGAGAGAGAGAGAGAGAGAGAAATGTAAATTAAAACAAAATAAATAATAAAATAGGATATATATATATATATATATATATATATCCTATTTTATTATTTATTTTGTTTTAATTTACATTTCTATATACGCGCGATTTTTACTTTAACTGATTCATGTATTAAAATATCTGAATTAATTATTGTATCGTTTTACACACACAAGAACGTTCTATAAAATATGATGATATAAAACGTTGAAAAATATATAAAGAATAAAAATATATAAGAATAAAACAGAGATGAGAATAGGTTCGTTCAATTTTCTCTTTTGCTTTGACAAACGCAACAAAATATTCCAAAGAAACCGCTCACCTCAATAGGAACAAAAATTCAGAGAAATCTTCTCTTTTCTATGGTTAAATTTGTTTTATATTTTTATAAAATTATTGATCAGATTATTGTATATATTATTTATTTATCTTAGAATTTTTATCTATTTACATATGTACATGTAACTGTTAAATCAAAATATATAAAATTATTATAAGAAAAATAAACTTTTTATGAAAAGTTTCCTTTTGTAAAATACAATTTTATATTATAACATGTAATTTTAATTATGTCTTAATCAACTGCAAGAAATAACACTACTGCGAAAATTATTCTCTCCAGCTCATCATTCTCTATATTATTTATCAAATTATTATTTAATTATTATTATTTGATAATAATAATACATACTCTTTAATAAAATAATGTTTTGAGAAAACACGATTTTCGTACTTCTACATCCAAATATAGGAAAGGTCATTGCTCCTGTCATAGAAGCACAGATTTATTCACGCTCCAATGTTCGTGAATTAATCAGTGTCTCTTATATATATATATATATATATATATATATATATATAAGATCTTTAAATAAAACAGATGATGACAGTAGACAGGATGACAGTATGACAGAATGAAATGACGCACTTATCTAGTTGAAAAATAAAATGAAGAAGTTTTTTTATACTATAAAAAAATACTATAAAGTTTTTATGAAAAAGATAGTTGCTTTTATTGTTTTATAAATTAATTGAAAGTTCAAACTTTAATTCTTAACTCTAAGCTTTATTTAAATGTATATAAATTTAATATAATTTCCCAATTTAGTAATAAAAGTTAATTATTTTATATAATATTTATATATATGTTTGTAATGAATAAAAATACTGTTAGTCCTGATATTTGTACTAAAAATAAGAAATAATTATTAAGAGCGTTACAAGTCTTATTCGCACGACAGAATTTATTTTAAAAAACTTACTATTTTTGACTAAAACACTTCATAATGGTTATTCAAAAAGTCTTTTTCCCTAAGATATATTATTATGAGAGAAATGTCTTATAAACGTCGATATAAAAAAAAATTTGTATTTAAAATAAATTATTTACTTTTATTGTTGCACATTATACATCAAACTATAAAGCTTCACACACTGAGAATACTATGTCAGTGAATTTTCTTCTATAGTTTATCTTTTTATATCGTTTTATGCAGGAAAGGATCTTTTTTTGATGTAGCTTGTAAACATTTTTACATTGGTGTTGGCAACACAAAGATTATTCGCGCATACACACGAGACTGATCTTTCTCAATACAGCTTATAGAATATAGAACAATGTTTACGGCATCGCCAGCATTCCATGATGATCGATCCATCGTCCTTCGCGAAAATAATTTTTACCGCAAGAAAGAATAAAGCGGGACCACCATCTCGATACATTTTCCGCGACAACAATGCGAAAAATTTCATTATCGAGTTGCTTTCGAGACGGAATAGAGCCGAATATGGCCGGCGCACATGCAGTTTGTACCGGAAAGACGGCTGGCCGGGAATGGTTTCCCACGGCTTACGCGGACCTTCTTTCCTGGTCACGAAAGAGGCTACCTTCGTGAATAGTCCTCTCTCAGAGACCGACGTCGCGTCCCTCTGGTGAGTTACGAAAGACGTGTTCGGAAGGCAAAGAGGTTCCAGGACGAAGTTTCCGCGAACGCGAAAAAGTACCGGCGTGAATGGTACTTCCGTGTACTAACGACAGGACGGAGAAGATAGACGAGAGCTGCGAATGCGTAAGTGGAAACTCAAAGCACATTAGAAATATAAAAACTTCTATTTATACATCAATCGACGAAAAATGTTCTAATGAATAAGCCAGCTTGTTATTTTAAAATTGTTTGTTTAATTAATTATCCAGTAATCGATCGCCCTAACATTATTTCCAGCACATGCAAATGTGAGAAGAATAATTTTGAATATTTTCTCGTTTTTAATGATAATACACACATATTTAAACGATTTTAAAATCTGTATAAATTGCCAAAATAACGTATAGGTGCTATCTTTTAGTTTGTCGCCACATGATACGCGATTCCGGCTTATTGACCCGTAATATTATTTTTGAATTTTATTTATTATACATTGAGTCCTAAACTACAATTTTATTAATTTGTTAATTGTATAAATTTAATTAATATAGATATTTTATAGATTAAAACGTGCAAGCTCTATATTCAGCTTTACTTCCTATTTAAACATTATTAAGAATGATAGTTATGGTAGTAATGGTAGTTTTTTAAACTATAATTTTTTTTATATAAATCAAAATATAAATATTTATATAAATTTTTATATAAATAAAAATAAAAATATTCAGTATTTTTTATTTATCTCTAATAAAATGTTTATTATTATTTGATTGCAATACTGCAATAATAACAATGATATTTTATTTCAATATAAAATTTAAATAATTTTTTAAAAATTATTAATAATTTTATAAATCCTTATTTAATAAAAAAATAACAATTAAATGTGATTAATAAAATAAAATTGATATTACGCAAAATCATGCGTTTTCAATTAAATTATGTACGTCAAAGTACGTTAATGATATTTTTGCAATAATGTTTGCGTGAGACCAACAAAGAGAAAATGGAGGGTGCCGTCTGACGACACAGCAAATCACAGTAGACCAGTCAAATAGCGAGGGCTACTGTATGGAGCAAATTCTTCCAAAGAATTAAGCGGGCATCGGCCATCGAGCAAAAAGCAATCCCATGCCAGCGTCGCTACGCGCCCGCGCCATCACAGGTCACAGAGATATCACCGGGCCAGGCGTGCAATTCATTTCGCGCTTTGCCCCGACTGTGTCGGGCGCAAACGGGGCGAAAAAAAGCGCCGTATCCGCAGATAGTATATTTATTGATACGGGAAAACAATTGGGTCGAATTTATTATTTCACGCGTGCCCGCTCACCGACGCGCGCTGTTGTTTTTGTTTGTTTTCACGTGGATCCCGTTTTATATTCGCGTGTAGACTGTACACACCGCGTTTCATACCACCGATATCTTCGAGTGTCCTTTTGAATGGCCGCTATATTTTGCGACATACCGATAACGTTTGAAAAGTTCGACCGGTCGAACGAATGTGGACCAACGTGATACTAAATTGATGTACGCGCATCAATCTCTGGAGATTGAATTATGCAAAAATGCTGTAAAAACACTGTCAACTCTTTACTATTTGAAATCACGAGTAATGCAATATATTAAGTCTTTTATTTCTATAGTCATTTCGTCATTTCATCAGTGTGTGGGTTTTATAATGTAATATAAAATATTTCTCCCTTAAATATAACTACATTATTAGTTTTATACATTTTAACATTTAAATTTATTTAAAATTTATTTAAAAAGATGTATGTATGTGTGTGTATGCAAATCATAAGCCATTGTATCGAGTTTATACAGCACAAAATTTATTTGATATTAATATTAAATCCTTTAAATCTATGAATTTCAAGAGAGTTTTTGAATAA